GGGTCACATTTGGTTCTATGGCTTTGATTGCAGCGACCAAGAGATCTTTGGTGATGGCGATTGCACGAGAGAATTTTTGCAATATTTTGAGATAACAATCTAGTGTCTAATGAACATGTAATAATCACAGGGTCAGAAAAAGGGGTCAGGTGAATACTTGACTTATCCCATTCGAAACTTAAATTAATATAAGATTGGAGGCTCGAGCTCAATGTATCAAATATTTTGGTTTAATGTTACGTACCCTTGCTCTTTTTTTTTGTGGAGTATTTATACCTGGAATAGCAATAAGTGCAAAGACTTCAAATTTCATCTGAACATTCAATGTCTGACACCTTTATCCACGAAGATATGAATGTTCTCTATCCAGATCTTCACATATTCAATGCTAGGATGATAGGACAAGTGTTCGAAGACACGCCAAGTACTTATGGCTATTCTCGAGCACTTGAGTGCCTGACACTTATTTCTGAGTGTTCAATGCTCGGGGGAATAGTACCTCGGGGCGCACCGAAGAGATATAGTTGGGATATCAGCCATTAATGTCTAGCCAACATGATCACAAGCATAGAGTCTGAGAATGCCGAGGCTCATTAATGACACTGTCTTCATCACTCACATCGCCATAAATGGATAGTCAAGTCGCATTAAATGCGGGTGTCAGCTTGATTACTCAGCTCTTTTGAACAATCATCTCTCGGCTTTACTCTTCGGTATCCTTTGAGCTCCATAACGGCTGCTGAATCGCCTCAAGTCCCGCCAGTGATGACCCCCATCTTTCCCTCTTGATCTTCTTCTTGAAAATGCAGTTGTAGGAAGGATCAGAACTCACGGTGTGAGTGTGGATGAGTTGGTACTTTATACATTTGCGATCATAAGGCCGATTAGAGAGAAGAATGGCAGTCCCACCAACCCAGAACAGACAATTGATTAGAGTCTTGGAGTGATCATTGCCCAACAAAGATACATACCTAAGATATATTATATATATACTAGTTACTGCTTGTACTTAAAGGCACAAAGTAATAAAAAATAAAAAATATATTTGTATTTATATCCAAAATTAAATCATAAACATATAGGAGAGAGAAATGAATTTAAGCATCAGTTGTAGTGGGGGTGAGAGGTGATGGGCGACAATGGTGATGGTAGGAGACGATGATGATTTTCGTGGGTGGCAATGATCGCTGTGGCGGTGGTGGTGGCGGCAATGGTAACGACAATGGTGGCGATGGCAATGGTGGTGTCAGCGATGACAGCGACATGGTGGTGAGGGTGGCGACGATGATGGCATGGTGGTGGTGGTGGTGGCGGTGGNTTCATATTACCCTTTATTTTATGGGTTTAATATATTCTAAAGTTCAAAATCTAGTTTACCATTTGAATGTCTAATAAAATGTAAATATTTATATAATGTTTTTCATATTACCTTTTATATAAATATCTACATTTTATTAGACATTCAAATGGTAAATTTGATTTTTAACTTTAGAGTATATTGAATTCACAAAATAAAAGGTAATATGAAATTATAATTTTTTATTAGGATAAAATCATATTTTTTAA